CCAACTTCAATATTTTGATTATTATTATTATTATTAAAAAGTGGCTAAAAATTGATAAAATATTTGTAAAATCTATACAGAGAGCCAAATATGGTTCTGAGATCATAAAACTGGGTGATAGTTAGTCAAAGATATTTATAAATACTTTGGGACATTTCCTAAATCATTAAAATACCAGGGACAGTTAATATTATATCACGGGAATAATTCAAATCATAAAACTACCAGTCTATTTCAAGTACTGTACAGTTAATTTTACTTCAAAACAAAATAGCTCTTAATATTTTAAATTATAATTTACATATTACAAGATCTCATTAATGCAGCTTTGATTTTATTTATTCTGCCTCATCTTAATGTTTGAATTGTTCCAAGATGCCAATAAATATCTCTGACAAACTATTTGATATAATACAAGTTTAAAACCTGGTCTGAATAAACAGACTTCAAAATAGAGATATACTGGTAAAAAGATACATTATCTTAACATCTGATTGGTCAACACAGTAACCATTAGTTTCTAAATTATTGACCAATCAGATGTCCTGTTTTAAATGAGATATGATGATTACGAGAATGTTTAAAGATAGAAACTACAAGTAGAAAAAAGGAAAAAGTGAATTGTGTCTGAACACGTCAGAAGAAGTTCTGAATCCATGCTTCTTTTATTTTCAATAATTCCGCACTGTATACCAGCATGATAAAAACAGTGGATTATTACAAATTGAAAAGTGTTAAAGATACAAAACAGCAATAAATAATTACATGAATAAATTTACAAATATACACAAAGTTATACATTGTATCTTACAAATTTACAAAGTTGATTTACATTTTATATTTACATTTACTTTCTTATACAAAACTTGCTCTAAATATGCTAATTAGGGGAACGAACTTACTGTGAAAAATTACATACATTGATTCAGAAATGTTGTCATGCACATAATATAATAAATAATTCTTTCTTAACTTTATGAATATATTAGCATGCAAAAAATACAATTGTAAAAGTTTATTCCTTAAAGTTTTTAAGAAAGGAATATTATTTATCAAATGTTTTAGTTAAATTTCAAATGATCTGTTAATTCTTGTTATCTCCCTTTAAGCTTTTTTCCCCTCTTTGAAAACCACAAAGTATGATAAAATACTGTTCCAAATATGGCTGTAGTTTTTGTCGAAAATCGAAAATTGTAAGAGGGCATTGCTTTAGGAGTAGAGATCACTTGTTTTCCCATCGAGAAGTTACTGTTGGCTTTGTTGGATACGAACTCCAACATCTTGACATAGAGGCGTCAATCACTATTAACCAATCAAAATAGTTCTCTTTATAGAATCAACCAATCAGAGGCTGTGAAAAAGATATCATAGTTCACACAACAGGAAACACACATTGGCCAACAGAGATTTCTGTTGTTTATCTTAGTTTCTAAACTAAGTCCAGTATCTATCGTCTTTAACAGAGGTCAATAGTTCACATGATGTTTTAACCAATCGACTATTACACTTGAGGACCTCAACCAATGGCAGGACAGGATGCAGAGGTCAATAGTTCACACGATGTTTTGACCAATCGACTCTTTGGCTTGATGGTTTGAACCAATCACATGCTTTGAAACAGAGGTCAATAGTTCACACGACTCCAACAACTTCGAATTCGCCACTCAGTCGAAACTGTTTAGTTGAGTACATTGTCTGCTGGGATTGTTGTTGTTCGGAAGCTGGTCCGTCGACCCACTGTGATTGGACGAGGTTTTCAGGCTTCAATCGGAAAATATTTCGTTGATTGTTCATTGTTATTTGATGGTTGTCTTGACAACGACCTTTATGACATTGACAATCGTGATTTTGAGTTGAAGGTCGTCCGTCATATTGAGTTTGACCTCGCACACAGTTTTGATTGTCATGCATGTCCTTATTTGGACAACAGTTTCCCACAGTGTTGTTCACTTTAAGAACTGGTTTGGCCATGTGTTCTTGGAACTTCTGGTACGTGCCAGGTTGTTTTGGGCAGATTCCCGCCATAATTTCAGCGTAGCGAGGAGAACTGAATCCACTGTCTTTGAGACTGAGTTCCTTCACTTCAATAGTAGCACTATCAACTTTATATGCCTGAGGCTCGCGATCAGAATAAACAGACGCTGTCGGGACTGCTGGTTTTAAAAATTGTTCATCTTGAAGACATTCAGGTTTTGATTCATTGTTATCCTCTCCTGCTGGATTTCCTCGTTGTTCGTCGTCAACATTTTCCACAACAGTTTCACAACTTCCTTCCTTCGTACTGCTGTTGTTAAGTTCATTCCTCGACCCATTATTACTACTGGACGATTGAGCCACATCTGGTTCAAAACAACTTTGTTGTTGAGGCTCAGTGTCCAAGACTATCTGTGGAATTGGTTGATGATTAATTTCTGCTTGACAGACGATCATGGTGTTGGCCGGTGTTTCCATGATACTGCTATCGTAACCATCGTTACACGGTAACCGCCGGGGATTACTCTGCATAACAACGTAACCGTCATCACCTTTCGGTTTCTCATTCGACTCTTCTGGTAATTTCTCTAACTGATTTTTAACGGGAAGTGGTTTAACAAACTGATGTTGAGTTGCCTCCCTTGATTTTTGAGAGATTTTGCTACCAGAGGACTCTGTTTTCAATCCAACGCAATTCACACCACTATCACATGACTGAGCGTAAGAAGAGTTTTTATTGGGTAATTTTCCGTGATATTCTACGCTAATATCCATATCGTGATACGCTGAATGACCGTAATACGTGTTTCGATGATGAGATTTTTTACTACGATGGGTACGATGAGATCTACGATACGTGTTGTGTTTTTGAGACTCGGTACAAGCGTGATCTTCACGAGGGTGACGTGAGGGAATAGTGTCATAATATCGCGGAGTTGAGTGATACGGCCCAGGGCCAGAGTTCAAAGGTTGATAAAAATTATCTGGGGCTAAGACAGGAGATACTGGATCCTTGTTACCATGGGTACCATAAGGATCGATATTTTCATCTTGGTCGTGTCGTTCTTTACGATTTCTCGTACTACGATGTTTGCGATGTCCGTGACGTTTTCGTTCACCGTATGTATCACTGTCAATCTTATCCAAACAATCTTGACTTTTACGATCTGCATGGTCACGTCCCTTTTTGTCTAAATCACGTTCGCGACTTCGTTTATCGTCATGGTGACCCTTTCGATGTGACGTTTTTTCGCGGTGCATTTCAGTGACGTCTGCCAGATCAAGTGGGGCTCCAGTAATTGGGTCAACTGGTCCGTCTATGACCATATAATCACCATGGTCCCCCCCAGTTCGGCCTAGCGTACTGTAAATATTTCCCGTGGTCATTTCACCATGTCCCATTGTTTGATAAACTCCTCCATCTGTTTTATTACTATGTACGTGAGACGGGGGTAATTCAGCGCCGTTTTGGATATAGTGCCATGTTCGAGATTTCACCATCTGTAAATATAAACAAGTTTGGATTATAACACTGCTATCAATTGTCGTTGTACTGGAGATTATTCTGGTTTTTAACTTCTCTCATCTCTTCCCTGAGTTTAACAAATAGTTTAGATTTATGCAGGCTTTTTTATTTTTATATAAAGTGATGAAAATTTGAGAAAAAGGGAAGGGGCAAATCAGGCCACCCTTAACCCCCACCCTCTTATTCAATATCCCAACTTAAATATCCAACTGTGTATAAAGAAAGAGATTAAACCCCTAACCTGTTGTGAGACCCATTGTTCTGTTCGACGATGTTTTTCTTGTTGTTGTTGATACCATTGCCATTCAGGGGGAGGGAACTGCGCTGAGAACGTCGCGTATTCTACCTCTTTCTCTACCACTGGAGTTTCTTCCACTGTAGGAGTAGGAGCAGCCGTCTTCTTTTTATTTCTTCCAAATATCTTCGAGAATAACGACACTTTTTCACCTGAAAAGTAGAATATTCTAATATTTCAAATTCTGAACAAATATCACAGTTCACGCTGTTTGGAATTTGAAATTATTTTAACAAAATGAAAATCTATTTTTGCAAGGTATAATAACTTAGATTCAGACGGATCCTTTCTGCCAGCTGGACCTTGATCAAATCTCTTGGCAAATAAATTCTTACCTTTAACTTTCTCACCAGATTTTAAATCTTTGGTGATTTCTTTCGCTTTTTCTGGTTTACAACGAACTGACATAACACGTTTAAAATCATCATTTTCTAAACTTTTTTCTTTCTCTTTACTTCCTTTCGGACCTCGGACACTTTGACTTCTACTTCGTGGTTTTAAACCTACAAAAACAACATCAAATTATACTTTAACACTTTCTTAAAACTTGTTCAGACTCAAATTAAAATTAAGGCCAAAACGACCATTGGCTTATCAAATTCTACATTTTCTTCAACTATTTTAAATTTTTATTTTTAACGAATTGAAAGAAATTGAATGACGCCTAAAATAAATTTAAGCTATGGACCACATCTTCTTTCTAATAATGCAATTTACTTAAATACCTGAAACTAGATACATTTCTTTTTGACAGTTTGATATTGAAAATTTGTGTTTCTGTAATTTTTGCAGACTCTAACTTCAATTCTACTTACATCTAGTTTGTTTATCTACGATGGTAGATTCCGCTTGAGCCTGACACGATATCGACCTCATATTGGCTGTGGGGGGTATCGGGGCTGTTTGCTGAGGCATCATAGACAGGTGAGGGGGTATTCCACCAGCTTGCTGACTGACCAATGGAAACTGTTGTTGTATTTGACCAGTCTGTTGATTGACCAATGGAAATTGTTGTTGTATTTGACCAGTCTGTTGATTGACCAATGGAAATTGTTGTTGTATTTGACCAGTCTGTTGATTGACCAATGGAAACTGTTGTTGTATTGGACCAGATATTTGTTGTTGTTGAAAGACAGGTATATACATAGGCTGATACTGCATCCAGTTATTATAAGTTACGTTCGGCTCGTTGGGGGTCGGCAGGCGAAATGTTTCTGGTGTTACCACAAAATACCCACTGCCTGGAAAGAGAATATAATAAGATTGAGTTTACAACCTCTATATTGGCTTACTGAATTATTCACTGGAATCCTTTACATCCTCTAGATTGGCTTACTGAATTATTCACTGGAATCCTTTACATCCTCTAGATTGGCTTACTGAATTATTCACTGGAATCCTTTACATCCTCTATATTGGCTTACTGAATTATTCACTGGAATCCTTAACATCCTCTAGATTGGCTTAATTTTAACTTCCTAGGTTGAAAATTTGGTCTTTTCAGAATCCAAGTATCAATATTCTTGCTGCCCTTATATCCTTAACCTTGGTTAAACTTTCACTTGTTCAACACTTTTTGGGTTTTCTTCACCTATTGACAAAACCCTTTACAACTCCTATTGGCTTACAAATATCATTCAATAATTCCACAAACACTACGCTTGAGGCATAAGAAAACATTTAATGAAGATTCAAACCCACAACGCCCTAAACCCTATAATCTAATACAATAAATAATTCCAGTTCAATTAACAACAATAAAAGTCATAAAGAAAATAATAGAGTGTTTATTTCATAAGATTCAAACCCAATAGCGCCAATATCCTTCCTAGTATTAAATCAGTTCAGTTGACTAACTAACAAAAGAATTAATAAAGTTACTCACGTGTTTTATTACTGATCATATTTTATTATTTTTTAAAACATTTTTTATTATAATTCTATTATACAACAGGATTCAAACCCGACAGCGCTGATATCCTACTGAACAATTCAGGTCAATTAACAACAAAAGAATTCTTAATTAATCTTCTTTTCATGCATTTTATAACCGATAATTTTTTTCTATCGTATTTCTATATGATTACAAGATTCAAACCCTGAGCGCTGAAATCCTACCTAGTATTAAATCAGTAATGAATAAAATAAGTCAACCATTTTATAATGAAGTGATTATTTTAAACAATATTTTATTATATTTTAAGTTTATTCCACCGAACTGACTCTGTTATTTAATATATTTCTAATTAATAAGGCAGGGATTCTAATCTTTCTATAGAATATTTATTTATTGCTAGTTTTAATAATTCTAATATTCATCAGTCAGGTATAGATATTTAGGTACATTGGGGTACAATTCAAAACATACACACGAGTGTCATACATTTTTGGGAGTTTTAGGTTATAACATTGCGGTTAAGTAATGTTACAAAAGCACAGGCACAGGCACAGGCATGTTGATGAAGGCTTTACCTTTAGTGAGAGAGTATAGTTAGTGCAGTTAGTTTGTATATTTGGGGTTAGAATAACCACTCTGCAGTACATGGTCTTAGTCCACAAGTAGGATGTAAAACTCCATTCATTTCATCTATGTATAGTCTTCAGTGCAGGGTATATGGTTTTATATTTTCTGATACTCAGGTTCTCAAACAGTTAAAATACTAGTTCTGATATTAGTATTCAGTCAGGTATAAAAGAGATAAACAGACAAGAATGAGACAGAAAATGAGAAAATAAAATAAGATGAAAAAAAGAAAACAAAGAAAAGAGAGATTTATTGATATAAAATGTGGTAAAAACAAGAAGAAAACTGCATCATTAATTTTACAATGAGAACTGTCTGTTAGACTGCATCATTCTATTTTACAATGAGAACTGTCTGTTAGACTGCATCATTCTATTTTACAATGAGAACTGTCTGTTAGACTGCATCATTCTATTTTACAATGAGAACTGTCTGTTAGACTGCATCATTCTATTTTACAATGAGAACTGTCTGTTAGACTGCATCATTCTATTTTACAATGAGAACTGTCTGTTAGACTGCATCATTCTATTTTAAACAAGTTTTTCAATCTTTTTCTGCAATTTTCACAATTTTCTTACATCTAACAAGAAGTTTATTGTAGAAATATTGTATTAAAATGATGATAAATCAGTCTATTTCTATATTTTTTGGAAACTGTTTAGTAAACAGCTGTCTCTTCTCACTTTTTGTCCAATTCAATCTTACAGTAAATATTAAGGGGGCCATATCACCTTCACAATATCAACTTTGTCAAGCTATTACAACTACAAAATACCCAGTCAAATATCATCATTATATTACTCTATACTGTGATGACAATTAATCCTGAAAATCATCAACTTTAATACAGTCAAAAATACCCCAAAAAAAACATTGATTTGGGATATCATTTATGTTTTTATATCATCAATATGATATATACTATGGGGACAATGATAAATAAGAGCTTTCATAAGGTCAGAATTGCCACCCAATAGATTGTTTTTTTGGGGCAGGGGCTATATAAAATCCTATGCTACTCCATCAATACCTTTATAAGTATAGTCCCATCAGTATACTGTATATATTACAAAGTAGAGATGAATGGTCATCTCCTGCTAATTACTCCTGATAATAGAGGGGTGAATAAAGGGAGAAATCATTAGGGGTGGGGGGTGACATCATATTATATAACCCATCTATTGTCCTGCTCGTAAAATTTAGGGGGTCATTACAAATTTGATGACATCATTACTCCCTCAGGGCAAGTCGACCCGGAAACAATGGGACAATAAAACACAACAAAATACTGAAAACCGAGAATACAACCATATAACTTAGTGACAAGAAATTTCATTTTCTAAACTCTAGTTTTAAAAATAGTAGTCACATGAAACTATTTTCTCAAAAAATCCAATCTGATTGCTTTCTCCTTCCCCCGCCCCCCCGCCTCCAAACTAGACGAATAACAAAGATAAGAACAATGTTGATGCTCCTCCCCCCCTCTCTCATACCAAGACAAGAAACAAATACTCCCCAGTACTGGCCTACAAGATAATATTGATAAAGATAGGAACGATGTTGATGCCCGGAGCTAAATTTAATATCATCTTCGTTATTTCTCTAAAACACTGACTATAACAGATATATTTAGTATGATTATCTCCAAATGACCAAGTTAATATACACCTAGATATATATATATAATATTGATATTCAGAACGATTATCTCAAAATGACCAAGTTAATATACACCTAGATATATATATATAATATTGATATTCAGAACGATTATCTCAAAATGACCAAGTTAATATACACCTAGATATATATATATAATATTGATATTCAGAACGATTATCTCAAAATGACCAAGTTAATATACACCTAGATATATATATATAATATTGATATTCAGAACGATTATCTCAAAATGACCAAGTTAATATACACCTAGATATATATATATAATATTGATATTCAGAACGATTATCTCAAAATGACCAAGTTAATATACACCTAGATATATATATATAATATTGATATTCAGAACGATTATCTCAAAATGACCAAGTTAATATACACCTAGATATATATATATAATATTGATATTCAGAACGATTATCTCAAAATGACCAAGTTAATATACACCTAGATATATATATATAATATTGATATTCAGAACGATTATCTCAAAATGACCAAGTTAATATACACCTAGATATATATATATATAATATTGATATTCAGAACGATTATCTCCAAATGACCAAGTTAATATACACCTAGATATATATATATAATATTGATATTCAGAACGATTATCTCCAAATGACCAAGTTAATATACACCTAGATATATATATATAATATTGATATTCAGAACGATTATCTCCAAATGACCAAGTTAATATACACCTAGATATATATATATAATATTGATATTCAGAACGATTATCTCAAAATGACCAAGTTAATATACACCTAGATATATATATATAATATTGATATTCAGAACGATTATCTCCAAATGACCAAGTTTAAGATTTGATATCATTATTCTATTGTAAAGCACATCTCTCAATAACAACAAGTTCCTGATTGCTTTCTTCAAATAGACAGTCTTGTAAAACAACCAGAATCATCTGACCTCGAGAATATAACCCAAAACAATTCCTTTAAACAGGAACCATACTTTAGTATTATTATTATTACTACTCTTGATATTACAAGCAAAATTTGGCTCAAATAATTAACACAATGATTAACCAGATATTAACAAGTTAGCTTTATATATTATAATATTGTATGTATCCCCTAAAAGACAGTTTTCTGAAACAACCAAGCATCACCTGACCTAGGGAATATAGCTTACACCAGCAAAAACTTTTTACAATTCCTTTAAAAGGGAGAATGCTATATATTGTATACAAGACAATGCTCTGTAATTACCATAATGAGACCAATTTTAATAGTAGAAACATTTATTACTAATTATTCTAATTTGTAACTTTTAGATCATTGATGCATAACATCACTCAAAAACACCCTAATCCTAAAATTATCAACATCTCTCAGACAGATTCGTGTCCTTTTTACGCTAGACTGACATGAAAGGAGTTTCTGCAGATCTTCAATGAAGGAGGTAATAATGATATCAACAGCCTGTGAAATAAGCTTAATGTATTTTAGATGTTTTGTAACAATAGACAACTGCTATGTGGGAATTTCTCATAGATTTTCACTTGATTTAATGAGTTTTGATTCCCTAATGATAGAAATAAAATGACAGTAAAGTTTTAAATATTGACCTAACTGTACTGAGGCTATAGTTTTTATTTTCAGCAATATTCCCTCATCTAACCTCTCAAACTTGAATGTCACTGAGTAGGAGATAGATAACAAAGATTTCTAATATTGATATTGTATGTATTTGGATTCTGAGATAATAATTCTGATTTAGACTGACATATTCATTTTATTCCCTTATTTAGTCTCAATAAATTTACTCAAGTCTACTCTAATAAAACCTCTGTAGTATCTTTAAATCTACTCATCTTATAAAACCTCTGTAGTATCTTTAAGTCTACTCATCTTATAAAACCTCTATAGTATCTTTAAATCTACCCATCTTATAAAACCTCTGTAGTATCTTTAAGTCTACTCATCTTATAAAACCTCTGTAGTATCTTTAAGTCTACTCATCTTATAAAACCTCTGTAGTATCTTTAA